CAACATGCTCCTAAGCCTCTTACTATTTCTGGGACCTGGTAAGATACCTGAAAACCAACAGCCCAAACAGACTATGCTATAGCAGACTGGCAAAAGTGGCATAGAATTAGAAAAAATGAAAGTGAAACTGTGTAGTTCGGTGACATATTATTGTTATTATTATACAGGATTACATAGTGCCCACAGTTTGCACATATCTAAGTAACACCTTTCCCAACACACTCAACATAGATTAAGAAAAGAGATTTATTTTTTGTTTTTTTTAGTAATGTGCATGTCATGAATTTTTTTTTTTTTTTTTAATTTACTATTTTTGGAAACCAAAACATTCACATATTCATATCCACTAAAAAGCATGAGAAATAGGTTGTGAACCCTTACTTTTTTCACATAACATTCTAGTGGATATCCCAGAGTAGTGGATGATCCATAGAGGGAGGATTATTAAAACCGAAATCTGGTGCAGCTGCGCATGGTAGCCAATCAGCTTTTAACTTCAGCTTGTATCGTTACGTTTTGACAATAAAACCTGAAAGCTGATTGGTTCCTATGCAAATTTCCACCAGATTTTGCAGTCATTTTTAGTAAATCCCCCCATAATACTGTTTGTCACTTGGGTATCATGCAATGGAAGAAATCCTAATCTTTCTACAGTACCACACTAGAAGATATAGAGACGCATGGACACCTTCCCTCTTTTTTCTGCTTCCTTATCCACTAAATGTGTTTAAAGTAGTAATGTTCATCACATAAGCCATATAAACAACAACAAGCTCTTGCTGACCTCAGGTAACCTCACAAGTGGAAGGAACAAATGTTATTATGAGTGGAGAGGCCTCTCAAAGTTGCACCTCCTGGCGTTGTTGCTGAGCTCTCACAATAAGCAATCAATTGAGCCTTCCATAATGATAATGCTGTCATATTGTATAAAAGAAATCACAAATCTTTATTTCAGGAGAATTAGAAAATGCAGAGTTCACTACATCCACACGAACCCAAAACACAGGTGCAAGCGACTCTAAATATTTTCAAACATTAATCAGATTACTCCCTTGCTAACCAAGTCATGTAATGCCTTCTCCTACCACGGTGAACACGACCATGTTTAATGAAACACATAGCAAGCAAGGAAACATAGGAGAAGGTTGGAGAGTCAAATATAAATATTGCTAAGTGGCCTTGTGTGGATACCTCCAGTCTTCATAATTGAAAAGATAAAGTACGTACAATTAGTGTTTTCATTCTTAACAAAAATTCTATAACAACCTGTGGCTTGCAAACTGGTATTGAACTACAAGTCCCAGCATACCACAGATATCTGAGAATGGACAATATGTCACTGGCTTGCCATATATACTCACACAATATTGCAAATATCAGTGATTCGTTCTTACCCTGAACAACCAATCAGAAATCAGCTTTTGTTTATCTGGCTGCCCTGAACTTCTATACTGGGTATTTGGCAGTTCCGAGACCGGTCTACTGTAAAGGTGTACCAGTATAGTTCCGGAATAAATAGATTCTGTACCTAAACTCCTACATCTTGAAATGTAAGCAGCATATGAAAAAAGAAGTTCTAACTAATACACAGACTAACATAAGCATGTAATAGAAATACATTAAATGCCACTGTTTTTCTGTGCAAGAATTATATGTTTCATGTGCACATAGGTAAACCCTCATTAATTTGAACTATCAATATTGCATGTTAATCCCTTTCCTTAATATTTGATAGTTGGTGATCAGATGTAAGTTATCCAATACCCCAAATATACATTGATGTATCACCCTATACTGATACAGCTTCTATGTGATATATGGCTGATAAATATGAGACAATTTCACAAGTGGCCAAGAGTGGTATAAAGGGTTCATTCTGGAGCCAGGCCTTAGGATAAATAGGTTGAGCCTGAGAGTGAATGTGAATATAAGTCAGTATAGTTGCTTGCTGAGTGCAGTTTTAAGCAGTTAGGTAAAGCTGTGACAATGAATGACAGCAGCTGCAGATCCTTTGATAACTATATAGTTATGAGTTGTTTGTTAGTGGGATTAAGTAAGCTGGCATCACTTATTCCATCATTATATTGTTTGCTTTTAGAACAATCAGTATTTACCAAGAGCATGTCAGAGTTTACATGACTATAAAGAGGGAGGAAGGATGAGAATCTTTACATTAGAGGAGACTGCAATGCGTGACTATGCCGATAGGGGTTTGAATGTGCATTAGGAAAGCAGTGAATGAATTATTTGTCAATTCTTTGGCTGATTCAATAAGAAAAATTGTTATTTACAAGACATATTTGTACCTCAGTCAGTTTTCTCAAGAAAATCCTATTTTTTAATGCATAATTGTTTTGTAGATGTTTTTGAACAGATTTTATGAACCATTGATATTACATTTGCACACTACATCTTCAATATAAGAAGTCACTGTGCAAAGACTATACAGTAGACAAAAAGGCTCATTGCCCTGCGCTTCAAGTTACAGCACAAAACATAACATTTAGCAATCTTAGGTTTTAAAGGCGTATGCACTAAGCTACACTGTGTACCTTTAAGGACTATATCAGAACCAGCCACCAGCATCAAAGCCCAATCTATCCCTCTATGTTCCACTGTGCCCAAAGACCTATCATATTCTCCTGGATAACAGGGTTCTTTGTGGAATTTAATGTGGTAAGATTTAGCAGCCAAAAGATAGTCTATTCTTATGTGTGACAATGCTCACCCCCCCACACCAAAAAAAAATATAGAAAAAAACACCTAATTTTAGGAAATAAAAAAGCAAGCAATGCCTTTAACTATACGTCACACAGAGAATGGGCATACCACAACTAAAGCTCGTAATAAAATAAAAATATATTTATCACTAGGAAAGTAACAGGTAGTTGAACATTACTATTTCCAGTGAAGCTGGTATACAAATACTTAAACAAAACTCATGCCAACACTCTACTTCTGTAATAAATTAAATAGTTGAAAAATAAGAAAACGAATGCCATGTCTAGCAATTGTTTTTTTTAGCTGTTTTTATTGCATTATAGTCTACCATTCAATCTAAACACTATAAACATTAAATATATTATATTTTTCACAGAACACATAACTATACAAAAAAAAATCACCGAAGCCATACTATATATGAAAGTAAAACGATATAGGGAAAATAAAGCAATGAATCTTATGTAAACTGTTTACTTTACAGAAGGTAATGAAGGATGTATGCTAACACCTGCATAAAACATTTATTTTACACTTTAACGTGTTGCATCATTTACATTTCTGAAATTGACAAAACAGAACGTGCATTTAGGCAACTTTTTTTCTATAAAAATAAAAAGTAACTTGTCACTAGCTTCTACGTATTATTGCTTCTAAAAAAAAAAAAAAAAAAAAAAAATATTGCAACCATGCACACCAATACAGTGTTAAAATTAGCTACATACCACATCAGTTGATTTTTATGCTAATTTTTTATATTTATGAGAAATATACTGAATGTATTTGCTATAGCTGATTTTGACACATAAAAAAAGCAAAATACTGAAAAAAAAATAAAAATGATAAAACTGACCCGGTCACCTAAGCCATACAGTTCACTGGGACTATAAAAAGGTTCCTTATTACTAAGGAGCAGAGTAAATTGGCTTTAGCTGTTGCCATCTGTCAGACCCTAAACAGGCCGGGTGTGTAATCTACTAAGCGGGACATGAGCTTTTTAGACTGTACTGGGAAAGGAAGCTGTACTTTACAGAGGGGGAGGAATGTATACATGTACTGCAGTATATATACAGATCCTGTCTATTGTTCATCCCTTCCTAAATCCTCAAAACCTTTGGCAACAAAAACTTGGAGCTGGATCAGCGGCCTGAAACAGACCACGGCAGGAACATGTCCTGGAACTCGGTTCACATTTTACTGCACAAACAAGGAACAAAATGAAAACTCTCTTTCTCTCTCTATATATATTATATATATATATTATATAACTGTGATGAACATGCAATGTACTGATATATATATATATATATACACATTTAGATAACTGTGATGAACATACAACAATGTATATATTACTTCAGGTTTTCAATCTTCTTTGAAGACCCAATACTTAATTACTAAATACATATATATATCTGTGATAATACAATAAGGTAAGGACCATTTTCAGGGTCTTTTTATCCTCCTGAAAACCCCCCAGTTAATTACAAAGACAAGTCTGATTTTCAATAATCACTTAATACTGACACAAGACTGGGAAGTAAAAACAGTCTACTTTCTATTTATAGTGAGGAGGATTACACAGTGGAGGTCACATGGCAAAACACAACAGCAGTGATAACACAGACAACAATAATAAACTACAGCTCCATAAACAGTCATAGAAACACCATAATAACAAGGATTCAGGAACACAGCACTTCAGTCCCTAGCTGACTACTGTCAAACCTTCAATAAAAAGCCTGATTTTTAATGTGCCGAATTATTAAAGTGTTAGAAATCAATGCTTAACCTGTAATGCCGCTGTTAATAATTCTCTCCAGCTCTCCCTAATAGAAAGTCAATTATTGGTTCATTAAATGTTACGATCCTTTACAAGAAGGGGCTCCAGGCGCCTGCCTGGTGTGTACCTTGTACCCAATAAAAAAAATCGCCAAAGGGGAAAAACACACAAAAATGAAATATGCACTACAACCGAATAGTTGTGGGATCTGCCTCAGCAGCACACGGGTTAACACGGCTGGAAATAAACGAGCAGAGCCAAGCTAGGACTGAGCCCTGGGCACCACCATAGACTGCACGACTGTGCCCAGCAATACACACTGTGATGTGTACACACAGAGCACGTGGAGAGGATACTCATCCCTCAATACATCCACCATTCCCGGCCACTATATAATCCGCACAGGGCTGTACATAGCACACACCACCATCATCATCATCATCATCATCATCATCAGCAGGCCATCACCAGATGCAATAATGAAGAGGGGACTCACGTGGTCTGCGAGGTTAGTGGAGGATCCCGACAGTTCTTCGTGGTCAGACTTCGAACTCCCGTCCCTCTCATCAATCACTAAATCTATGGGCATTTTTCCTTTCAAACAGCTGATGTATCGATGGCAGAAATTATCGCACAATTCGTGGACCTGGGGAGGTGGGGGGAAGAGGGAAGCATGATGTTTTGGTGGAAAGAGTAACAAGCCAGAGTGTCCTCCAAGAGTAACTATCATTAAGGACTGTAATAGTTGCAGGCAAGGAAACAATAAAGAAATTGTAGCAGCAGATATTATTCTCTGGAGACCCGGGGCAGCAACAAGTAGAGAGGAGGAGAGGAGAGAAGGAAAGGGCTGAGGGGAGAAGGAGAGGTGAGGAAAGACAGAGCAGAGGTATGGGGAAAGGGGGATAGAAGAGGAGAGGAAACACAGAGGAGGCAGAAAGGAAGACAGGAGAGGTGAGGGGAGAAGAAAGGCAAACAATACAAAACAGAGGATAGGTAAAGGAAATCAGAGGAAAAGGGAAGGGGAGGCAGAGGAGAGGTAGGAGAAGACAGAGGAAAAGGTAATGGAAAACAGAAGGCAAGACGGGGACAGGTAAGGGAAGACAGAGGAGAGGTAGGGGATGACAGAAGACAAGACAGAGGAAAGGTAAAGGAAGACAGAGAAGAAGTAATGAAAACAGAGGAGACGCAAGGCACGACAGAAGAAAGGTAAGGGAGAGGAGAGGTAAAGGAAGAGAGAAGAGAGGTAACGCAAAACAGAGGAGACAAAAACAAAGGAAAAGGACAAGCAAAGCTTAGGAAAGACATGGGTAAGGGTAAGGGAAGATGGACGTGAGGTAAGGGAGGATAGAGAGGGAAGGGGAGAAAATAAGGGAATGGGAGAGATAATGATAAGGCACATGGTAAGGGAAATGTGAGAAGAGAAGTGAGGGAAGAGAAGGTAAGGGACAAGAATAGAAAAGAAGATGAGGCCACAACAGAGAATAAACAATAAAGATGCATGAAAAATGGAATTTCAAGAATAAGAGAAGAAGGAAATAATGTGCAGAGACAGCAGAAGAAATAAGCGAGAAAAGGGAGAAGAAAGCGATCAGAAATTGGCATATAGGACACAATTGGTGGCAAATTTTTGACTGGAGCAGAAATGGTTGAAGGGAATTGTGGGGTGAAGGTAATGACCAGGGAGTAGGCCATGATCAGTGGGAACACACTAGAGTGGGCACCAGAGTATGGAGCTGCCAGTCCACCCCCCCAATACCCGGGATCACCAAGTGTCATCCGTGCCCAGGGGTGCCACCATTACAGAGTTTATTCCTGTTGTATCCGATATCTCTATATCCACATGAGGGGACACATCTATTCCCTCAGTCCGGGTTCACAGCCATGTTCCAGGGGCAAGTGGGCTCCAGTGCCCGGCAAGGGAGCACTCCTCCGGGGGCATCTGGGTGCCACATTCCGCTCACAGATAACTGCATTACAAATTAGCTTTAGCGCTGCGAATTAGTTTCGCTCAATTAAATGTCCACAAGAAATTCGCATAATTGAACCCGACGGCAGAGATAGCGGTGGTGTCATATCTCCGCTGTACCCACAGCATTATTATTCTTATTATGCGGATTAATAACGTATATGAGCTGAATATCGCACACTGAAAAAGAAATCAAGCACTTTTTAAAAATAAATAAATAAAAAGAAATATTACTCAGAAGATTATGCGTGTGTATATGTATATAGATATATATTTATATATCTATATACACAAACAACCTGGGCAAATAATATTGATTATAATTCACCTCAAATATAGATAGATAGATAGATAGATAGATAGATAGATAGATAGATAGATAGACAGACAGATAGATAGATAGATAATTGTCAGTGCAAGCTATGTGGAGGTGAATAATAAATCCAAGAGTAATCCTTGGTCCAGTTGTGCAGTGTGGATGACAGACAGCTGTGGATCAGGCCATGCTGGGTGTTTGGATGGATCTCTCGGTAAATACAGTAGAATTACATTAGGGCACATGTCTTGTAAAGCCCCATACGTTAAACGGAATGTCAGAAGTAAGTGTTCCGTAATGAAAACAATCTATTTACCTTTTCTAATTCCAAGAGATGAAACCGCAAGACTTGGATGGCTTGGATCATCTGCAATGAAAGCAGAGCCGTTATTCTGGGGAGGAAAGTCTCCCTGTGGATGGATGGATTTTGATGTGTGGTCTATGGGAGGTGAGGCAGATCATCGGGACCCCTAGTCGGTCCCCAGCTCGGACAGGCCAGGGTGTCCCTGACAGGAGGGGGTATTAATTATCCAGACTTTTGGTTTATTCCTTGGTCATGGCTCAGTCACTCTGATCTTCCCCCTCCCTGGTTCCCTGAGATTTCTGATGAATGTCCTACCTGCTAATTCACTGCCATGAGGAACATGCTGCTCCACAGGTGACAGCGACACACAAGTGACACTTTCACATTTCCAAATCACAGACAATCCCGCCTGTCCACTTCTAGAGAGCCGACCTCCTCCCCCCTGCACCATTGTTTTCTGTCATTCCCACAGCAGTAAGATTATTTCCCAACAAAATCTGTGCTGGAAAAAAATACCACAACACAATGTAACACACACTACTACAATACCACTACACAGTACCACCAGCTACTACACACCACTACACAGTACCACCAACTACTGCACACTACTACACCACTACACAGGACCATCAACTACTACACACTACTACAACACTACACAGGACCATCAACTACTACACACTACTACAACACCACTACACAGTACCACCAACTGCTACACACTACTACAACATCACTACTCAGTACCACCAACTGCTACACACTACAACAACATCACTACTCAGTACCACCAACTGCTACACACTACTACAACATCACTACTCAGTACCACCAACTACTACACACGACTACAACACCACTACACAGTATTACCAACTACTACACACTACTACAACACAACTACACAGTACTACAAGTCACATCACACCACTACACACTACCACAAACTACTAAACATTACTGCAACAACACTACTACTACTACTACACAGTACTACAAAGTGCTACTCAGTACTACAAGACCACCACACAGTAATACAGTCTATTACTGTGTACTAAAACACCACTACTCTTCACTATTACACCACCAAACAGTACTGCACACTACTACTCAGTACTATAACAATACTACACAGTACTAACTACTACAAAACCACTACACAGTACTGTACACTACTACTCAGTACTACAACACCATTATACAGTACTGCACACTATTAATTACTACAGCACCACTACACAGTGTTGCACACTACTACTATTCCAACACCATTACACAGTGCTGCACACACTACTACCATTCCAACACCATTACACAGTGCTGCACACAACTACCATTCCAACACCACTACACAGTGCTGCACACTACTACTATTCCAACACCACTACACAGTGCTGCACACTACTACCATTCCAACACCATTACACAGTGCTGCACACTACTACCATTCCAACACCATTACACAGTGCTGCACACTACTACTATTCCAACACCACTACACAGTGCTGCACACTACTACCATTCCAACACCACTACACAGTGCTGCACACTACTACCATTCCAACACTACTACACAGTGCTGCACACTACTACTATTCCAACACCATTACACAGTGCTGCACACTACTACTATTCCAACACCATTACACAGTGCTGCACACTACTACTATTCCAACACCATTACACAGTGCTGCACACTAATACTATTCCAACACCATTACACAGTGCTGCACACTACTACTATTCCAACACCATTACACAGTGCTGCACACTAATACTATTCCAACACCATTACACAGTGCTACACACTACTACTATTCCAACACCATTACACAGTGCTGCACACTACTACTATTCCAACACCATTACACAGTGCTGCACACTACTACTATTCCAACACCATTACACAGTGCTGCACACTACTATCTAGTACTACAACACCACTACAAAGTACTGAATACACACTGCTACACAATATTTCACAGTACTGCACACTAATACAGAGTACTCACCAAGTTATCCAGCTCCGGATTAGAGGAGAAAAGGGGCTTCTCTGCCCTGACCTGGGGACAACACAATCACAAGTTACTACCCAGCAGTCTGTGGACACATCGCCAAACTGAAAGACAGGGTGTTCATGTGTGTACTTCTACGTCCTTTTGCAGTATTTATAGATGTATGTATTATATTTATATTCTACAATTAAATGTATGTATATGATTATTGAGGAAGAAATGCGTGCCTATATATTTCTTCATATATATATACTGTATGTAATAATGTTTTACTCCAAAATACTATTTACACCACAATTCCTCCCTTATTTTCCTGGAGCGATATTTTACATGTTTTTACTTCTTTGGAGTATAACACTTTATAGTTACATTTGAAATAATGTAACAGTTACATTTCTAGTAAATATGACGTATTACCCTGAGCGCGGCTTGTATGATACAGGGACCGAGAAATCTAGGAATACTTGGCATAAATTACATGTATCCAGAATTAGAAAGGATATGATACAAGCATGCAGTAATAAAGGGATATATAATACAAACACCCAGCGATAGAAAGGGTATAATACAAGCAGCCACTTATAGAAAAGATATAATACAAGCATCCAGAAATAGAAGGGATATAATTTAAGAATCCACCGAAAAAAGGGATATTTTTTAAAGTATGCAATAAAATGAGATATAATACAAGTATCCCGTAATATAGAGAGTATACTGCGATAAAAACACCCAATAACAAAAGGGGTATATTACAAGTATCCCGTAATAAATTAACACAATACAAACATTCAGTAATAATGGGGATCTATAGGCATGCATTAATGAAAGTGAGACAAGTATCCATTAATAGAAGGAATATAATTTCAGAAACCGGTAATAATTGGGATATAATGCAGTCATGCATAAATAGAAGGGATATAATACAAGTAGCAAGTAAAAATGGGAATATGATACAAGTATCCATTAATAGAAGGAATATAATACAAGAATCCAGTAATAACGGGGATAAAATCCAAGCACCCAGTAATAAGGGGGGTATATTAGAAGCACTCAGTAATAAGGGGGATAATGCAAGCTCCCAATAAAAAGGGGAGTATAATAAAAGCAACCCAGTAATAGACGGAATATACTCAAATAAAAGAAGATATTTAATACAGGCACCTAGTATTAGGGGAGATATAATACAAGCACCCAGTATTAGGGAGGGGGGGGTACAATACAGGCACCCAGTATTAGGGGGGATATAGTACAGGCACCCAGTTTTAGGGGGGGGGGGTGTATAATACAGGCATCCAGTATTAGGTTGGATATATTTCAGGCATTCAGTATTAGGGGGGATATAATACAGGCACCCAGTATTAGGGGGGATATATTACAGGCATCCAGTATTAGGGGGGATATAATTCAGGCACCCAGTATAAGGGGGGGATATAATACAGGCACCCAGTATTAGGGCGATATAATACAGGCATCCAATATTAGGGAGATGTAACACAGGCACCTAGTATTAGGGAGGGGGGTATAATACAGGCACCCAGTATTAGGGAGGATATAATTCAGGCACCCAATATAAGGGGGATATCATACAGGCACCCAGTATTAGGGGGGATATAATACAGGCACCGAGTATTAGGGGGGATATAATACAAGCACCCAGTATTAGGGGGGATATAATACAAGCACCCAGTATAAGGGGGATATTATTATACAAGCACCCAGCAATAAAGGGAATATAAGACAAACATCCAGCGGTCCGGGGGTGAATAGTCGGCGAGATGATTGACCTGTTTGGCGAATACAGCGATGTCTTCATTAAAGGAATCGGACGAGCACACGTCCCCTCCTGCTACTCCCGGCTCCCGCGGGGTACACGTCGCCAGTTCACATTTCTCAAAGACCAGAGCTAGAAGAGGGAAGAGGGGGTGTCTGTGCGGACCCCACAACAAACCACCATCAATAAACCACCATCACAACAGACATTCAATGACAAAACTACATTATGTAAAAAAAATAAAATAAAATAAATCACAACACATTCAGCTAAATTCACTTTCATGTTTACTGTAATCCTAAATCTAGGGAGAGAGTGTGAGATTGGTGACCCCGGGAAATAACAGAATGTTGAAATAAATGGGGTCCAGGAAATAATCTCTGCTCCAGCAAAACGGCACATGTGAAATCTTAATGATCATATGACAATTTGTGTCTGCTGAATAAAGGATTTGCAGGTTTGCTGTGCATAGCAACAAGCTGATTTTTAATCCTCTCTTTATTTGCTCCTTTAATCCTTAATTGGTCGGTATTAGGAATCCTGAGTGGCTCTAATGAAGTTGCAATGTTTTGCAGGGAATTATCAGGCCCGGCTCATGGCCGGGAAGCTGAATTGTTGCCTTCCCTGTCCCCTATCAGTCCTGATCATTTCATGGGGGAGATGTTTATCTGACATGTGTGTATATAGGGGACACCGATCTGATTATATTTATCTGACATGTGTATATAGGGGACACCGATCTGACTATATGTTTCTGACATGTGTGTTTACAGAGCCACCGATCTGACTATATTTATCTGACGTGTATAGGAAGCACTGGATTACTATACTTATCTGACATTTCTGTGTATAGGGGGCACCGGGTTGTGGTGACTATACTTATCTGACATTTGTATGTAGGGAGAACCAAAATGACTATACTTATTTGACATGTATATATAGGAGCGCCGATTTGATCTGACTATACTTATTTGACTTGTGTATATAGGGGCATCGATCTGATCTGACTATACTTATTTGACATGTCTATATAGGGGGCACCGATCTGATCTGACTATACTTATCTGACATGTGTATATAGGGGGCACCGATCTGATCTGACTATACTTATCTGACATGTGTATACAGGGGGCACCAATCTGATCTGACTATACTTATCTGGCATGTATATATAGAGGGCACTGATCTGAGTATACTTATCTGACATGTGTATACAGGGGGCACCAATCTGATCTGACTATACTTATCTGACATGTGTATATAGGGGGCACCGATCTGATCTGACTATACTTATCTGACATGTGTATACAGGTGGCACCGATCTGATCTGACTATACTTATCTGACATGTGTATATAGGGGGCACCGATCTGATCTGACTATACTTATCTGACATGTGTATACAGGTGGCACCGATCTGATCTGACTATACTTATCTGACATGTGTATATAGGGGGCACCGATCTGATCTGACTATACTTATCTGACATGTGTATATAGGGGGCATCGATGTGATCTGACTATACGTATCTGACATGTGTATATAGGGGGCACCAGGCTAACTATGCTTCTGCCAACATTCCCGATTCCAGCAGTACCTACCCATAAATGGCATCTTTGTCCCGTTTAAGGGCATCGTTGACAGCAGACCCCATGCTGGTGGGCATAACATTGGGGTGGGGGGCATGAGTCCCATAGTGCTGGCTGGCATGTAAAGGGGGTCCGTGGTTTAAATGGTGTACCGGTGGGATAGGTCGAGGGGCATGTGGGTCACCATACATAGAGGTTGGCACCCCCACTCCGTCCATGGCATAGTGCGGTAACTCATCGTACTGCCAGAGAAAAGAAAGACAAAGAATTAGAAAGAAAAGACAGAAAAAATACAAAAACAGAAACAAAAAAAAGGAAGAAACTCGTGAAAGAGCAAAGTAAAAGCTCCGAGGGTGAGAGGCCTGATCAGGAAGAAAAATAATAAGAGTAATAATCAAAATAATAATAAAACTAAATGAAAAAGAGTGTGCAATGAGCTGACAGACTGCAAGCATTGATTGGAAGAGGCCAGACAAAGAAAAAAACAGTAATAATAATAATAGTAATAAAATAAGAAGAAAAACGAGTGTGAAATGAAGTAACAGACGACAAGCAATGGTTGCGAGAGGTCCGACAAAGAAGAAAATAATAATAAAATAAAAAAAAAAGAAAATAATGTGAAATGAGATAAAAAGGTGAGCATAAAAAGTGTTGATTGGGAAAAGTCCAGGGCAATAAATAAATATAAGTCCCGGCTGGAGGAGGCTGAAGAGTTACCAGGAACATTGAGGCGTGTGCGGACTCTTTACTGCTCATCCAAAAATGTACAAAAGAACAAAAAAGAAGTGCAAGCTCTTCGCCGAAGAACTAGAACATGGGCAGATGGAAAGACGGCGACTGCGAGGAAAAGCTGCAAAAATCAAGCTGGAGGATAGGACTGACATGAGGAAGCAGAGGAGCAGGAAGAGAAAACACTGACTACTGAGAGAGAAAGAAGACAGAGAGAGAGAGAGAGGAAGAGAGAGAGAGCGAGAGAGGAGAGAGAGAGAGAGGAGAGAGAGGTGTGTGTATGTGTCAGAGACAGAGCAGGAGAGAGGCGTGCAGGAGACACACAAAGCACTGATCACTCATATCCATCCTTTATTAAACACACACATATATACATCCTGAATCGTAAATGGCACCCCCACCCCGGGCTCACATACCCCCCATGCAAGCCTTGCGCTGCTCTGTGTCAGGGCATTTAAACCTACCCTTTGCGCCATCAATAAACGCCTGTGTGTGCGCCCTATAGTGCTGTCTCCGTGTCCCGGGCTGCTGGGAAGGGAAAAGGGGGCCAGGGGTGGGGGGGTGAGGGGGGAAACGGACAAATTGTTTCTCTTTTTTTCTTTCTGCAATCCAGCAGAGCTGCTGCTTCTTCTTCCTCTGCCCGGCTCCGACAACACCAGAGACCGACAATCATACAAGCATGCTGCACAGGAAGGCCAAACTCTCTGAAAGGTCTTCTTTGTGGTCCGCGGCGATGTGTGGCGAAGTGTCCCGAATGTAGGAGTTCAGTGCCGGCCCAGGGCAGAGCCACATGTACCCAGGCTGGGGACTCTCATGGCGCTCCGCCACTTCAGATGTCAATCAGAGGCAGAGCATGTCAAGGTGCTGAGTGAGGGATGGTGGCAGGAGAGGAGGAGGAAGATGATGGTGGTGATCGTGATGAAGATGAGCAACGAATCTTCCAGCCCCTTCTCTCTCTCTCTCTCTTTCTCTCTCTCCCTCTGATGCTTCTATCTTTCTGTAACTCCTCTTGACAGCTCCCTACAGATCTCTGTCTCTTTTTTATTTTTTTCCCCCAATAACACGTGAAAAAAAAATCAGGATCCAAATGACTAAAAAAATACCAAGAAAAAAAAATCAAATAAATACAAAAATATCTTTTAGTAACAAAGTAAAAGCAATAAAAAAGTCCAAAGTGCTTGGGTGTGCAGGGAGTGAGGAGCTGGGTGGTGGAGGGGATTTTGCAGCCTGTCTCTGGCAGATGAGTGACTGCTGGCAGGTTGGCTGCTGCTGGCTTATACAAGAGGCTCAGTTTGTGGAGCTGATCGGCGGGAGAATGAAAATGACGGAACCCGGAAGTAGAGGGAGCCAGAGCCAGTCCTACCGCACAGACACATGGAGGAGGCAGAGACTAGGAGGCGATGCGATGGGCGCCGTGCAATCAGGAGTGCAGGGAGGCAGGGAAGGGGAGGGAGGCGACATCCACAGGCCATCCTTCCAGCAGCCAGCCTCAGCCCTCATTATCCTAGTCACAGGCTAATTCCACAACCATCCCCTGTACTGCATGTCAGTACACACTGCTGACCCATTAACCCGATCAGTGCCAGGCGAGCAGGAGACAACACACGTGCGATAAATGTGCGAGTTGTGCGATCCTCCAGCACAGCCTCATCGCACGTGGAGGAAAGTCATCACCGTTCTGTGCTGTGATCACAAGGGGCTTCCATCGCCTGCGATCTTCTTCCACAATGGCCTGGGGCTGTCACAGCCAGGAGGTCACAGGAAAGGGGAGGAAGTGAAGGTGACACCAAGTGGGGGGGACACTGTGACAGCCAGACCTGGCAGAATCTGATGAGAATGGATGGCATACCAGAGGGTGGATTTACTAAAATCAAGTAGACTTTTCACTTTATGAGGGAAGTTACACTTTGTAAGGGAATTATACCCAGAGATGAGTGAATGAGGTGCAATTTCACTATGCTAAACAATAGCCAATCACATGCAAGGAAAATGAAAAGACAGTATTTGACTGGAATATAAAACTTTAAAAGGGAAATTGCACTTTGAAAGGAAATTATCCCCAGAGCATAGTAGAGAAAAGTCTAGTGAGGCGTGCGGATTTTCTGGGTATGGTCGGAGATTAATGAATGAAGTGCAATGTCACCTTGCTAAAAAATACTCAAACACATGCATGGAAAATGAAAGAACAGCATCTTTGCTTCCATTTGATTGGAATATAAAATGTTTAAAAAGAAAGTTGCACTTTGCAAGGAAATTCTCCCCAGAGCTTAGTTAATAAAGTGAAGCCCTGCTGAACACTGATCAAATGGAAACAAAATGCTGTTTTTTTCAATTTTCCTTGCATGTGATTGGGTATTTTTTTTAAGAAAGTCAAGTTACAATACATATAGTAAACTCTGGTGAAAATGTCTTTGCATAGTGCAACTTCTCTTACAATGTGAACAGCCTGTGCGCCTTTACTAAATCAACCCCTATGTGTATCTATCAATGACCCAATATTGCAGTGAAGTTACACCACATTCACTAACCTCAAGGGAACATTTCCTTGCAAAGTGAACTGTAAATCAACCCCCCAGGGGTTGATTTACTAAAATCAAGTAAACTCCTAACCAGGGGGGGGACTGCCCAAACTCAAAAAAAGCCTATGAAAAAGGTACCAGGGGCATCTCCTGGGGCCCCCTACTGACCCCGGGCCCTCGGGCAGTGCCCAAGTTTTCCAAATGGTCAGTCCGCCCCTGCTCCTAACTTCATAGGGGACGCTGCACTTTGTAAGGGAATTATCCTCAGAGTTTAGAGAATGAAATGAAGCCTCGCTGACTACCGTAATCATATCAAATGGAAGCAAAATGTTTTTTTTTTTCATTTTCCTTGCATGGGATTGGGTATTTTTTAGCAAAGTGAAGTTGCACTACTTCACATTCACTATGCTCTAGGGAACATTTCCTTGCAAAGTGAACAGTAAATCAACCCCCCGGGGTTGATTTAAATCAAGTAAACTCCAAACTTCATAGGGGAAGTTGCACTTTGTGAGGTCATAAATGAGGTGAAGTCCTGTTGACCATCATCCAATCAAATGGAAGCAAAATATGCTGTTCTTTTCCCCCCCCCCCCATTTTCCTTGCATTTGATTGGGTATTTCCTTTAAGAAAGTAAAGTTACATCACATTCACTAAGCTCTGGTGAAGAATTCTTTACAGAGTGCAAGTTCCCTTGCAATGTGAACAGCTTATATGCCTTTAGTAAATCAACCCCTATGTGTAGCTGTCAATGATTAAATGTTTAGCCAAGATTCATAAGAGAGCTGATTCAGATCTGTGGAAGACAGAAGTAAGGATGATTGATTCTATTACGGTATAGAGGATATGCACCCAGTAATGGGTATGTTCACAGTACATGTTAGTAAAAAAGAGGGATCTGCTTTGACTTTGAATGTCCGACCATGTGCAGGAGAAATAAAATACAAAGAGGATTTTGTTCTAGCACGTGATTGGCTGTTGCGCTTCCCCTTATTTGCTGACATTCCATGAGCCTGTCCTGCAGCCTAGAGGTGAGTGTGAACTTTGTGGTGTGATGTGTGCACAGGTATTAGTGCAGTAATACTTGCTAATGGCAGTGCTAATGACAGTCGGGCTATTTACTAAATGAAGTAAAATGCTGCACCCCGAGCAGCCAGCCATCCTTTACATGAGAAGCAGAAACACCCAGAGGTTCTCAGGGGGAGGGGGGGGATGCCTCTCTCGGTTTTGTCTTGTTGCCCAATCCGTTTGCTGGAAGTGAAACCTGCTTTAGACCTCAGAACAGTCAATTACCACAAGTCCTGGAGCCCATCAATCATGGCCGGGGCCTGAAGTTTGCAGGGGGCGGGGGGCTGGCTCTGCCTTCACATTGTACACTGATGGCCCCTCTAATGCTCCATCTCAGTAATCATCACAGCAGTTGCTATTTTCTAAAGTAGAAAAGAATTAGGAATCTTAGTTAATGAGTGAGTTTAACATGTAGGATGCCATAGGGGTGGCATGAAAATGGCAGCATTCTTCCAGCTGATGGGGTCACTTTCCTCCTGCACAGTCCAGGGTGGGGATCCTCCGACACCACTGACACTGGGCTCTCATTAGGTGCAGACATGATTTAAAGTGACCTGGCTGCTGCTTCCAGCAGGGAAAGGGTTAGGCTGCTGGGGCTGAATCCACCCTAAACCTAGATGTCTGAGCAAAAATCCTGACAGCCACTGCCAGGGATGGAGAGGGACAGCACCGCCTGGGACAGGGAGCCCCGGCTGGCGGGGACGCCACGGCTACTGCAGGCGCTGGGGGTCAGGCAGCATTGCTTTTAGCTTCGCGGGGCTCAACTCAAGGCTGGGGGAATGGACAGTTATTCCACAGCAGGCTTAAAAAGTGGAAACAATAACTTGAAGAGAGGGTTTCTGATGCAAGGTGAGTGCATTACTAATACCAACACTGACTGTCCATAGGCACATATTCACATTTCT